TATGACCCAATTGGGAGATTTGTTTTGCTCCGTGTTCAGGAATACAGACAAGCAAAAAAAACTCATTGAAGAGCTCAGCCTTGCCCACCCCCAACTGTCACTAATTGCCCTAGTTTGTCCTGTGGGGGTCCTATGCTACCCTGTGCCTTCATTTTACTCCCTATATACCTGAAGAAGGACGTTCTGGCTTCTCCAGCTTCACACCAGGCCCCTGCTCAGGCAGAGTGATGTAGTCTTTAGCTATATAACTACACACTCCTTTTTCCAGGTCTCTGCGAGTAACCGAAGTCAAAATTCCCACTGGTGGGATCACAGACGACATGTTCCTCATTTTATGGATGGCCTGACTTGAGACCGTGGTATCTCACTTGGAGGAGGGCTGACAGCTCCAGTCCAAGACAACAGACATTGGTTTTGGTTGCTCGTCTTCCCTCTCTGGGTATTGGTGGAGAATAAGGAGTTAGTACTTCAGGTGGGTGCCTGCTGCCCTTGTCCCAGCGAGCCAACTGGGGGCTGGTAGTGCTGAAGTGAGCCTTTACTTCTGGCTCGAGTCCTTTACTCTCTAGAAGGAAGTAGTGTGAATGAACCCTGGCCCTTGGCAAGGGGGTCAATTAAGAAGTGCCTGTCAAAGTTTTGGGGTCAGACAACGTTTTCAAAGTGAATTACTCAAAACCCTCACCACCGCAACCTAGATTTCTTCCATTTTAAGTGATGCCCACACCTCAACACATCTACACCATTTCCTGCAACAGACCCGCTCCATTCTGGCAGAAAAGTAGTTGGGATCCAACAACGCTGTGCTATTTGGGATACAAAATGACATATGTACAGACTCTCATGTAGTCTCTTTCCATTTATTCTTCCTTGGCTAACACAATGCTTCGCACTAGGATGTTTCATAAGGTGGCCAAACCCAACTCTTCTTTCTCTTATCATCCATGTCAAAGAGTTTTCCATATTTTCCAGCAGCAGCTGCAGTATCATCTCTCGCCAAGCGACACGTGAAACAGGTTACCCAGAGAGGTGGTGCACTCTCTATTCTTGGAGATTTTTTAAGACCCAGCTGGACAAAGCCTAGGCTGGGATGAACTACTTGGGGCTGGTCCCTGCTTTGAGCACAGGGTTGGACTAGAGGTGACCTCCTCACACCCTCATCTATGAAGCTAAGACACAAGCTGGGAGCTGTATCTTCAAGTCAATCATCCAGGCACTTCATATCAAAGGCAGCTGAGTGGTACAGCCAGTTTCAAAACCCACATCAGCTCTGCAAGGTTGGCATGGTGTTCCCTCGAGCCCAAGAATATCACACACAAGTACACCTGCACAACTAAAAGATTAAGGCTTTCTGAAGCAGTGTCAGTTTGTTGATCCTTGATAGGCTAATCAGCTTCTCTCAACCCAAAAGGGGGGGGGGGGTCACAAGAATATATGAAAGGTCATGAACAAACTTTAAAAAAAAGGATCCAACTTTAAAAATGGATTTTCCTTTAAAAGGAAAAAAATGTGGGAAACCCCACCCCACACAGCCACCCCCTGCCCCACACACTGGGGAGCTGGGGGCAGTTTTCTACTTAAACTATTTACTAGGTCAGGGCTGACCATCAATGTTTACAGTTGGGTCCTGGTACAAGAGAGGTTGAGAACCACTCTGCTACATCACAAGGTGGCTGATATATCAGAGACACCAAGAAGTAGTTAACCATGTTGGTGTGAAGTAGAGGGCGGGATAGATTTGCACCTTAGAGACTAACCAAACTAGATTCGATACTTCACACACACACACACACACACACACACACGCCTGACAGATCTGTAGGGTATAAAATATAGAGCGCACAAGCTATTTTATGCACATGTATAAAATATAGAGCTCACGAGCTATTTTATGCACGTGTATAAAATATAGAGCGCACGAGCTATTTAATATATGTGTATAAAACATAGAGCGCACAAGCTTTCGTAAGCTGAAGATCACTTCTTCAGAACACCAGATCAGAGCCAAAACAGGTGTGTTTTCTCAGTTACTAACAACAGGAGCAGCTAAGTGTAATTAGAGGATTACGTGGGAGGGGATACCAAGCACAGGTCAGTACGATGTCATAAACAGTTATTTTATCCACCTCCCAGTACGTAAGTAGTGAAGGTCTGACATCTCGGTTGAAAGCGTATCATTTTTAAAAATAAAGTTACATCACTGCTGCAATTAAACAGGTCATACCAAAGACGGATACATATTTTCACTTGGTACGTATAAAATTCCCTTCCTTGCCTAGCAGTCAACTTGATTTCATGGGTCGCATCTACACAAGACGCTGACTACACAGTAGCCTAATAATACTGCACAGTAACATGTTACAGCATGAACAGTGCTAATACGCTACTGTGCAGCAGCATCACTAAAAAGGGCGTTCACCAGCACTACTGCACAGTAACTCCAGATACTGCACATTTATTTAGTACTAAATTAAATGCGCAGTAAGCGCTGCACATTAGTGAATGTGTATATGCGCCCACGGTTTCCAAGAGCCTCCATGGGGAGGAAATTCACTAGCTAAGGGCCCAAATCCAGTGGATAAAAGGAGAACAAGTTTCAGCAGCCCAAGGCCGAAACCAGAGAAATGCAGCCCAGCCGGAAGGGAGATGTTGTGAACATGGAGAGCCTGAGTGTCTATACTTGCACTTACCTGGGATGACCTAGTTGGGGTGGTCCTGCTTTAAGCAGGGGGATGAACTAAAGCAGCGTTCCTCAACCCACGGCTGTGACCCAAAAGTGGGTTGCAAGAATATATGAAGGGCCACTCGTATGGTGGGTTGCAAGAATATATTAGGGCCACTCGTATGGTCAAGGGCCTGCAGACCAAGCCCTACGAGGAGAGACTAGAGAACCTGGACCTTTTCAGCCTCCGCAAGAGAAGGCTGAGAGGCGACCTTGTGGCTGCCTGTAAGTTCATCACGGGGGCACAGAAGGGAATTGGTGAGGTTTTACTCACCAAGCGCCCCTGGGTGTTACAAGAAATAATGGCCACAAGCTAGCAGAGAGCAGATTTAGATTGGACAGTAGGAGGAACTTCTTCACAGTTCGAGTGGCCAAGGTCTGGAACGGGCTCCCAAGGGAGGTGGTGCTCTCCCCTACCCTGGGGGTCTTCAAGAGGAGGTTAGAGTTCTTCAAGAGAATGTTAGACCGGCATCAAGCGGGGGTCATCTAGCCCCAGCCCTCTTTCCTGCCTATGCAGGGGGTTGGACTCGATGATCTATTGAGGTCCCTTCCGACCCTAACATCTATGAATCTATGAAAGGGTCGATAACAAACTTTTCAAATGGATTGATCCTCGTTTAAAAAGGAGAAAAAATGCAAGAAACGATGGATTTTCCCTTGCAGGCTGGCCAAGTTCCAGCCTGCAAGGGGCTGCTTGGCACCTCCCATGCTCCCCTCGCCCCCAGCCACCCCACACACTGTTTTCTATTTAAACTATTTACTGGTCGGGACTGGCCACTGATGTATACAAATGGGCCCTGGTACAAAAAAGGTCGAGAACCACTGGACTAGATGTGACCTCCTGAGGTCTCTTCCCACCCTCATTTTCTATGATTCTATGATACCTGGTGGATAACTCCTTCGGAGAACAAGCCTGAAGAGTCCGAACCAAGCTCCACATTTAACTCAATGTGGATCTCAGCATAACTACACAGACCTCTGCACTTAGTGCCCTGTCTTGCTAAAGGATGTGTAGCTTTTCAAAGCGAACCAACCGATCCTGTGCTCAGAGTTTAAAGACAGACACGCAACACACACTTAAATTAACGAACAAGAAGAACCAAGTTGGTTGATCCCTAAATACCTTCAATTCCAGTAGGAAACAGTTAGCTCAGATGACACGGGAGTTAAAAAATAACTCTGCCAAGTCATGCTTTCACAAGGGATTTGGCTCTGCTCAGCTCTGGGGATATCATCCAACGGGAAAGCATGCACACACATGCATGGAAGGATTTAATCAGCCAGATCACCCGCAACAGTATACATTGCCTGGATATTTGATGCAATGGAGCTAAAAGAAGCAGCGGCTCCTGCTGGCTGCCTGCGTTTTTATGGCTAATGATCCTCTAGGAGTGGAAACAGCAGCAGCACAGGGGCAAACTCCCCCCTAGGGCTGACGCCTCTTTGGCCGTCTGGTGATAAAGGCACTCTGGGAAGTAGGACAAGTGGGTTGGAGTCCCCTCCAGATCAGGAGGGCCCAGAACGCCAGGGCTTCTCCTTTTGGGGCAATCCCTCTAACCACAAGCGTTTTGGGCCTGGCCAGCTCTGCTCACGTTGTGGGCAATGTGCTGATCAATACACCAACCAAGTGCAACATGGATTTCTCCCCACGGCTTGGGCATTTCATCACATCTCCAAAGGAGTCTGCCCAAGTCCCACCCTGAATGCGTCCCAAACGCCCCCAGTCGACCCAACTGGAAATGAGCACCTGCCCGCTCAGACTGGGCAGTCAGAAGCAGACGGAGGCTATGGTAGACCACTCCTGCATGCCGTTTGCTGGAGCAGTGCTTTTCAACCTTTTTTTCATTTGCAGACCCCCAAAAATCTCAAATGGAAGTGCTGACCCCTCTCAGTTGTAACTGTGGGTCTTCACACACTTCTGATTGATCACAATCATCTTTCACAGACCCCTCAGACATGGCCTGAGGACCCCCCCCAAGAGCCACGGACCAAAGGGTGGAAACCACTGTCCTAGAGAACTGGTGACAGGCCCCAAGGCTCAGGAGGACCCGTGGTGCACAGGGTAGTGTTCTCCACTCCATCTACATTTTTACCCTGCTCCTCACGTAAGCGTCTTGGACTTAGGAGGGACGGCCGCTGGTCACAGGATTCAACCAGTTTCAGTCCAAAATTCCTTTAGGAACGTGAAAAGGCTCGGTTTTAATGGTGCAGACAAGGAACCAGAGACCAACCAGAGGTTTCAGCTGAACCCAAGAAGAGAAAAAGATGCATGTGATCACCCTTAAAAATATTACATGTTTTATTGTCCTGTCCCAAGGGGCAGGAGGGCTGGTTTCCCAGAAACCTCAAAAAAATTTAGAACATACTTATGAAGAGGCAGATAAAGCTGACTACTTCCTATTGGTGTCTACCTGCTGACGTTCCCATCCCCCTAGATGCTGAAGGATCTTCAGTAGCAAACACAAAATGCTCCCATGACACTAACGATCTCCCAGGACAGAAGAGTGAGGAAGGGGTGCGATGAGGAGGGAGGTGGGGGGGATGAATGACAAAGCCGTGGAATGTTACAGTTTCCATTGTTACAATAATCAGCAATATTTTAATTACATGACAGAAGAAAAACTGCAATATACGATGCTAGGTGAATATATATTTATATAATAAATCCGTAAGTTAATAAAGTAAATAGGAACCCTCTGAAAAAACTTTTTTTTTTTTTTAAGTTTCAAACAAAGGTTTTTTTTGGTCCTCAGATAAAACCTGCTCCAAGACGGTTGAGAAAGCATGTGCCAGGAGTGAACTGGTGAGGGCGTTTGCTCTGATACGTGGCGCACAGATGGGTGCACGAGCGTTTCTGCTCTTCAGGGAAGATGCCGTGGTTGCAGAGCCTCTGAACCCCGTTTCCTATATGCTTCGCGTTCCTGGCTTTCCCTCTGACTGAATGCCCAGGTTCACCTGCTTTGCTGCATAGCTTAAGGCTGCTGGTATAGAGGATGCTGAAAGATGACCTTCCCCTCTCCAGAAAGCCCGAAATCCCTAACCCAGTGAAGCCGTTTGGGGGTTGCGCCTACAGAGCACAGTTTATTAGCACCCAGTGTCTAACATGCACGGAGCAGAGTGAGCTTCACTGCCCGGTCCCGTCATTTCCTTTTGTTATAGAAGTCAATCGACATGTGCAATGGAGATCCAACAGCTGCACCTGGTGTCACCTAATGGAGAGCTGAGAGCTAATGAGAATGAGAGCAGACAACAGCACAGGCCTGCTTTCCAAACCAAAGTTTGATCATCCCCCCCGCTGGAATGAGCCTCAAACTCAGTCTGGTGCATTAAAGAAACCTGAAGAGCAAGGAACCCAGAGAAGGAGAAAGCTAACCACAAACCCAAGCCAGGTGTGCCCTGCCCGATTTGTAAAACCTGCGCTAAAAGTCACGTGACCTTCAACACGTGTGTCAGCACTGCCATGATAATGCTACGGCTTGGGGCAAAGCTTGATGGTGGCGCATTGGTGAGCAAGGTTGAGCCAGGTGAATATTATATATATAAAAAAAAGTCACTCCTTTTTCAACTCCCACCTGGTTCAGAACCTGAAACCCACCTCGCAGCCCATGAGGCCTCTCCCACTCACGACAGCCACAGACCTCGCTTGAGCACAAATGATGCAAACAGGATGACAGTGCAGCGATAGGCAGGTTTTCCCCCTGATAGCGCTTATTGCTTAGTTCTTGTCAGGTAATAAAAAGCCACCACGCAAGATTTCCCAGAGAAAGGCACGGAGTTCTCTGCCTCGAGATCTTAGCTAGTTCGGCCTGTGCGACAGGAATTTGAGGACTGTCCCAAGATCCACAAACACTGAGCACCAAAGGAGAAAAAGTCAGTTACATGATGAGCTGGGGAGATGACAGCTCAAGACGTCCAGGAGTCAAAATCCTTTAGGACGCAGGAGGGAGCTCCTACATTAACGGCTCCCAGAACAGGGCACACTTCCACCTGCAGTGCCCGAGGATGTGGTCCCCAAGGAACCGTGAAAAGGGAACAGACCATGTTAAAAGCCCAGCGCTCTGGTCTAACGCATACGCTCTGTCTGGGTGGGGAGGGGATCTGGGAGCAGGGTAAACCATCGTTAATCCAAAATGTCATTTATCTGCACTGCACCCCAAACTCCACCCAGCCAGCTGGAGGTCTGCCGGACACGCTCATTAGTATCAGAACTAAGGGGAAGAGGAAGAGACAGGATTGGGAACGTGGCGCGTGTCGAAGCAAGGTTAGGTAAAAACAAAGCAGATCCAGATAGAAAAAAGAATGCTCTTCCTGTGGCTGCTGCCAGGGGGGGTGGGGAATGATACAGACTGGTGACGACTTCTGCTACACAGACAGGAGGGCAGAGAGACGGGAGAAAGGAGACAGGCTCCACTTCAAGACATGCCAATCAACAGCAGATTTGTTTTTTTCTTCTCTTTTCAGCTCAGTTGAAAAAATAGAATGGGATATATTTAAAAAAAATAACCCTCTGAACCAGAGCTGCTTGTTCACTTCCAGATTTCCCTCCCCCTTTCCCTTTGCCAAGAAACCCCAAAGCAACTAAATGTGAGGAAATTAGAAAAAAAAAAAAAAGAAAAGCCTGTTTTAAGCCACCCCCAAACCCCTCTCCATGTTTAACAGAGCAAAGTGGGGGAAAAAAAAATCATTGCATAGGTACATGGTTCATATAAGATGCAGTAACAACCGGAATGTGAGATAGTTCCCAGGATCGCCCCGTGTGAATGTGACTGTCTGTCCTCTGGAGGAGAGGAGCGGAGAAGAGATCCTGTTACCGAGGGACAGGGTGTGTGTATGTGTGGGAGGGGGCGGGCATGCGCGCACGCCCATGTGTGCACACACATGTGCATGCATGTGTGTGGGGGGGGTGTGCACGTGTGTGTGTGAGGATGCAGAGCACAGAATCAGGCCTTCGCTCCTAACAAAGCGCCAGCGCTTGCTGCAGCCGCCACCACCTCACAGGTCGCTCTCGCCGTACAGTGCCGTGGAGAAGGACTTGTAGTCGAGGGCCCCGGGGATGGCGTCAGGGCCCTGGTAAGGTGCCATGCGGGCGATGCAGTACTCCGCTTGGTCCGGGGGCAGCTCCCGTCTCAGCTCCTCTGCTGTGATGTAGTTCTGGGGCAGAAGAGGAGAAACACTCCTTGAGCGTGTGTGCAGTAGCCCTGGCTAAGCCTCAGCAGCTGTCTTACTCTAGGCTCCGAGCCAGAAGCCTCGGGAAGCGAAGCAGTGCCAGCCCATCCTGCGCACAGACAAGCTGAAGACTGTCCCTGCCGAAGTCCTCTCGCTAGCTTTAAAGCAGACTGCAGAAGCGATGGATTGGGCCGCCCTGCCTCTCTGCTCCACTGGCTGCCTGCACGTGTCAGGATCCGAGTCAAAGCTGCCTTCCTTGCCTTTAAAACGTGGGTTGTGCTCTGACTATGGACCAGCTTCTCTCTGCTCCCTTAGTGCCTGCCTCTTCTGTCTTTTCACTCACGCTCCCCCTGGATACAACAGCTCCTTCCTCTGCAGCTCCTCTCCTGTCATCTAGCAAAATCGCCTTCTGACATGCTTCCATAGCTGATGTTACATCTCCTTCCAGCCCTTTCTCTCCCCCTGCTTCTGTAGCTTTCCAGCACGTGTGCAGACAGGAAAGTCTAAGTGCACTCTAGCTGGACCACATCAGGTAACCAGCCCCAGAGACGTGGTCACTGGAGCTGCCTATCAAGTTTGCTTCTGCTGACTCCGACAGCCCCCGAACACAACAGCACGAGGGGAATCCCTGTTTACACTGTGACAGGTAATGGTGCTCTTGGCCCAAATCCGACGGCCAGCCTTCCCCGAAACAGTGCTGCGCTGCCCCCCCGGTAACACAATTACCTGCTTCTCTGCTCTCGCACACTACAGTAGGGAACAGGAGAGCACAAGAAAAGCCAGGGCATGGCAGTGTGTGCTGCCAGCAGGCTCCCAGCCACAGCTCACCTTATCTCCAGCCAGGACCTTGAAGGAGGCAATGACCTGGTCGGCTGTGTCTGTGTCGGTCGTCTCCCGGGACATGAAGTCGATGAAGGCCTGGAAGGTCACAATCCCGCTGTTGTTGGGATCCACCAGGCTCATTATCCGGTTGAACTCGGCATCTCCCTGCCAGGAACAGAGGAGAGACACTTTAAGTATCAGTTTCTGGAAGCAAGCACAGCCCTCAAAGCCACTTGAGAAGAGGGGATAGCTGCCTCATAGCTCAGCTGCTGGGGAAGACCATTGGAGAAGTGAAGGCTGCCTCGCACCATGCACTGGGCCAGGAGGCAGATGTCCTCATTGTCTAAGATAGATTTTACCCTCCTGGGCAAGGGATGGCTGAAGGACAAGCAGTTCCACGCTGTGGGCTGGCAGCATGCTCACCCCTTACGTAGGAAGGTCAGACAGTGCTGTTGCCTCCCCTACCCCACAGAAAGGGCCTAGGCCAAAGCTCCTTTCCAGCTTGGCGCCCAAAGTCTGGCCAAGCCCACACTGTGGAGAAGAGTCACACTTAGTGCACCAGAAGTGGGGGAACATCATCTCTTCTCAGCACAGGCTAACCCCAAGAGCGACAAAGCTTCACAGGGGTTGCCACCTCCATTCCCAGATGCTCCCTGAGCCGAGAGCCGCTGCATACAAGAGGGCTTTCCCCAAGACCGGAAAGCCAGCCAGGCCCTTCCACCAGAAATTAAGCTCTCAAAAAGAGACTGAGCTTCCAGGTCTGTGCACGAGGCTCAGATGGGTTCCAACGAAGAAGTCAAATCATGCATCACAGATGAGACTCCGAGGGCCAAGAACGGAGCCTTGGCTCTGTGCAGTGATATTCTACCAAAATGTCACATTTCCCCCCCAACGACAGTGACAGCTAAGCATTGGCACAGAAAACATCAAGCAGTGCTATTAAAAAAAAAGGAGATGGTAAGAGAAAAGGGGGAGAAAAAAAGGGGGACAATAGCAGATAGCATACCAGACTGTATCCTGTGGAGATAAGGAGAGCCCGGAAGTCATCCGTGTCCATGCTGCCTGTGCGCTTCTATTCCAAGAGGATGACAGGAGGAGGAGGAGGAGGAGGAGGAGGAGAGGGCCAGCCCCGAGGGGCACGGATGAACGGTGCATGCAAAGACAGGAAGAGAAGGGGAGAGACAGAAGGGTCCCCCCAGGGGAGAGAAGAGAGGCAGAGAGAAGTTCAGTTAAGAAAGTATTTTGGAAGTTGCCAAGACGTGAGCAGGAGAGGAGGAAAGCAGAGATCAAAATCAAGATTGAACACGAGCACAAGACAATGGGTGGAGCGCAGGGAAGGGGAGCAAAGAATGGGGTGACGGAAGAGAGAAAGGAAATCGGGTTAATTGCGTTATCAGTGGCAGGCTGCACAGCGAGGACGCTCGGTACCTGTCTGTCATTTTCCACATCGTATCCCAAGCTGATGAGGCAGGCTTTGAACTCCTCTGGTCCCAGGGAACCGCCATGGTCCTGCCGGCAGGGAACCACACAGCATGCAGGGTGGAAGGGGGAAACCGCAGCATGGCGAGGCGGCCGCACCAGGAGTCACAGAGACGACAGCACGCACGTCGCGGTGGGGACAGGGAGGAACAACGTGCACGTGAAAGGGGAGGGGAGGAGGGAGAAGACACAGTTAGTTGGACCCCAAGTGGCTCGCTGCTGTGGAGAGAGACCGGAGCTAAGAATCTGCAAGGCCTAGCTGCTGCCTGCCTGCTTCAGAAGCTCATTCATCAAGGAGCTTCCATGACGGGTGCAGGAAGCTCAGCAGGTTTCTGAACAGGTCTGCCTACAGATGGCCAGGACCCACCACGGGCTGCAACATGCACCCGGGCTGACAGGAGCCCTTCCAAGTGAGAGTGCTCTGGAGATGGCAGACACGCAGACTGGGAAGAGTGCTTGATGCTGGACCTCGGGGAATACCTCCCAAAGCCCACGTGGGGCTTCACGCTGAAAGTCAACGGGGCTTCAGCTGCTCTAGGACGTGACACTTCATCTCGGTCTCCTGCTTGATGTCACTCTGGGAGCTTAACATGCCAGTCTGTTGGCTGGGGGCTCTGAAGCCACTGCCGCTCCTTGGAACAAGTCCCATTCAATCAGGCAGCAATGCTTCCTACCTCACAGGCAGCTGGGCTGGCGCTGACTGTGGGCTCCTGCTTCCAGCCCAAGGCAGCCTCCCAAGAAAGCTGCCAGCAGAGGAGCTCCATCTCACTGCACAGCTGGGATCTGCCCTGCGCTTGGGAACACTTAAGGCTTTTCCCTCAGGGTTACCCCGAGGTCTGCAGATCCACCTTGATGAAGCAGCAACAGTCAGAATGTGCACGTGTGGGGTGGGGACGATTTGACCCAAATTCCCCAGGGAAAGGAGACCCAGGCTGTGTAAGTAAGATAACCCTGATCTACGCATCTGTCGCTAGCACCAATGCCCCTGCACCCTCAGGGCTCGAGCCCCGCTGTGGACCCGGTTACCTTATCGAAGTGGTTGAAGGAAGCCCGGAACTCCTGCATCTGCTCCTGGCTGATCCCTTTGGCGTCGCGGGTGAGAATCTGGTTCTCCACCTCATTGATCGTTCGGGCAATGGTGGTGAGGAGCTGCTCCCAGCCAACACGGATATGCTGGAGACCCCGGGAGAGAGGCAGTCAGAGAAGTAAGCACCATGAGACTCCACTAAATAAATCTCATAGAGGACTTGGGTGTGGTGGCCACTTATAGAAGCCCCTGGGCTTCTAGCCACCTAACACGGCCAAGGATTGAAGCCACTTCAGCACTGGGCTCTCAAGGCCAAAAGAAAGGGACCTCATGAGCTCAAGCAACCTGTGTCAGATTAAGGCAGGAATGGGCTTCAATGCTGGTGCCTTTCAAGCAAAACCAGACCTCCTTAGGAACAAGGACGTGGTACTAAGGCATGGCTGTGGCCACCCAAACTGAACTCGGGTGCCCTGGCTATCGGGTCAGCCCCAAAGGGGCTGCAAAGAACCTACCTCCATGGTGTAGTTGGTGTGCTTGTTGTCAAAGATCAGTGCCTCCTGGATAAGTTGGTGCTGTTGCTCCAGCAGGTCGATGTTGGGCTTGTAGTCGACAATGCTCTGCTCATACTGCTTGAGGTGGTTCAACTGGTCCTCCAGCGTCCCATTCATCTCAATGGAGATGCGCCCAATCTCCTGGGGGAAGAGGGCAACAGCATCAGCCAGTGAGGCCAGGGATAAGCAGTCCAAGTAGAGACCGTGTGAAGGCAGGGAGGTCCAGTGGCCTCAGCCCCCTGTGCAGAGTGGCTGAGCCGTGCATGCTGAGCCTTGCTTGGAGGCTGTTACAGTCCCAGAATCAATGCAGGGCTTCACTGGTTCCGATCAAGCCTGTGAGAAGGGCCAGGCAGGATGGAGCCTCCTTCAAGCTAGTTACTAAGATTACTTCTGAAGGACCAAGGAGGGAGGAAGGAAGGAAGGACGGACAGAATAAGACGGGTTGGGAAGGACATCCTGCGGAAGGATCATTATGGGATTAAAATAGGGGGCTGGGGCACCTGACTTGTGAGGAGAGGCTGAGGGAACTGGGTTTATTTAGTCTAGACAAAATTGGGGGGGCGGGGATTTGATATTAGCCTTCAATTCCCTGCAGGGTGGATGCAAAGAGGATGGAGCTGGGCTGTTCTCAGCGGGGGCAGATGGCAGAACAAGAAGCAGTGGGCTCAAGTTGCAGCAAGGGAAGTTGACATTGGATACAAGGGAAACTCTCTCGCTAAGAGGGAGGTGAAGCACTGGAACAGGTTACCGAGAGAGGTGGAGGACTCTCCATCCCTGGAGTTCTTTTAAGACCCGGGTAGACAAAGCCTTGGCTCGGATGATGTAGTTGGGGCTGGTCCTGCTTTGAGCAGGGGCTTGGACCAGATGTGACCCCCTGAGGTCCCTTCACACCCTCATGTGCTTGTAGCACATGGGACATGGGAGCAGGGAGGATTAGCAGATGCTTGCTGAGCCCCAGTGCTGTTGAGGGCTCTACAGACACCTCAACACCCTGCTTTCTACCCCAGCCCGGCCCCAAGTTTTCCATTCCAGCAGGAGGCAGCAATCAGAGCGCCTGTTCTTCTCAGCACCTTGGACCCATGCTATGAAGCCTTCGTTAGGCTGCCAGGAGCAGCTGGAGGAGCACTGCTTGCTTCCTGCACTGAGGCCCTCTAAGTTTGTACCTCACAGAGGACTGGCACATACTGCACTTGGGAGCATTTGCCACGCTTCGCTTGACGAGCAAGCCACTGATAGAATAGATCCACTCTCCCCATCTACCGAAAGCGACTCATCCGAGGTAGCAGTGAATTACTGACAATCTGGGGGCTTAACCAATGGACCATGCTACAGTGTGATCTATGGGGGAAAAAAGCAATTACCTCATTCCCCCGTGATCCCCTGTGAATGGACCTCTCTCAGATAAGCTCCCTGGTGTTCTCGCTAATTCCCTTTTTCTGCCGGCCCTGCAAACTCACCCTGGCATCCAAAAGCAAAGGTGGTTCCTTTCCCACTATCACCAATAGCAAAGAGTTTGTAGGCAAGCCGGTGGAGATGCAGGTAACAGGAAGAGTCGAAACAAAAACGGAGAGAAGCCAGTTCCCACTTCTCCTACAGCATCCACCCTTCCAATGCCACAGGAACCTTGCGTATGCTCCTGCTGAGCATTGTGCACCGGTATGGGGCCATAGCATGCACGTTAAGTTAGTGGATTCCAGCCTTACCAGTGTCATGAAGACCATTACCGGATGCCTTATGCCAACCCCAGCTGACTGCTTACCAGTCGTCTCGGGCATTTCCTGTCATCACCACCACCACAGGAATCCATTCCCCCAGGCACTGGCTGCAGGGTGCCATTTCCACGTTCCTCCCCTTCTCAGAGGAGGGCCCTGCAGAGCTGGAACACACTCTGCACATGTGTTGTTTCCAGCACATAAGGCCCCATATACAAAATGAGGGTCATTCAGGACTATTCTGTCCAGGCACAACTGGGGCCTTTTAGCAGTAGGATCCCATAGGTCATGAGCATCACTCAAACTGTGATGGAAGTCAAAATGCGCTGAATGGGAGCTTAGTGGGAGGACTCGACTACACAGAGGAGTGTCCCTGAGCAGCACTTGTACAGACACTTTTTCGAAGTCAGCATCCACCTGGGGAGTTTTCCAGGAGGGCTATAACTCTGAAGGCAAACCCTACAATGCTCTAGTATGGAAGCCTCCATGCCAAGATGTCCTCAAGAACAAGAGTCCTCCTCCCTTACACACGATCAGGACAAAGCAGCACTACAGTGGACCAGCTGCAGTGGCCCAGGAGGGGTGAAGATCTCTGTAGCAGGCGTAGAGGTCAGACAAGGCAGAGGGTTCGCGCTGCTGTAGTAACACAGGCCCTGCATGCAGACGTCTGACACTAGGTGGCACTTCCTCTCCAGGTTTGAGAGGCTGCAAGCAGATGGTTGGGCTCTCAAGTCCAATACCGGGCACAGTGCAGAGAAGACAGCTAATTAAGCCCCGAGAGGTATGACTTAGCTCCGCACCCACCAGTCTGGGAGCTCCCAGACGCCAAGGCCTTACCTGCATTTTGGTCTGTATCCAGGGCCCCACGATGTTGGCCTGGCTGGCAAACTGACGACGCAGGTGCTCATTGGACTGCTGCTTGCTCTGCTCATCCAGGAGGGCATGGTCTCTCTTGGGCACCAGCTGCCGA